GTTCTAGCCCTTCTAAGCCTATCATTTCTTTCGGAACCATCATTTTTGTATATTTTTTCTTCACAAAATGCTGATGCGTCACATTGCGAAGTTTTTAGGAGAGTTTGACAACAGCACAACCCAGCGGCCAACAGTAGGGATGTGAGATTAATGGAAAAGAATCGATTAAATAAAAATTGATTCTTCTTTATTAAAAATAATCGATTTATCAAAAATCGTTAATAAAAATAAATAATCGATTTCTGCGAAATAAAAATGATTTTTTTCATAGTTAAAAGTTACATTTCAAAATAACCAATTCAAAACTAAAAATCAAAGGCAATGTTCCCTTAAAATTTCAAGGTAGGAATTAGGAAACCAATTAGCGTTATTGATACAAATTTTAGTACTATTAAAACCAACAAAATGACAAATTTACTGTCTCAAAAACTAAAATATAAATCAAATTCCATAAATGTCCCGTCCTATTTTACATTTAACTAGTTTTAAATTAAAATACTTAAAATGAGAATTAAAAAACTAAACGACCACTCTATAGTCTGAAAACCTAAACTAAAATACAAATCTTTTGTTAATCTTCAAGTTTAAACAATAATAAAATTAAAAGTAATTATTGCCGCAAATGTCCAGGATATTTTACATTTGACTAGTATTAAAATAAAATACTTAAAACGAGAATTAAAAAACAAATCTTTCGTTATTTTTTAAGTTTAAACAATCAATACACGAAAACTAAAATTATTGGCACTAATGTTCAGTCTTGTTTTACATAAAAGTAGTATTAAAATAAAATGAAACGATAAGTCAAAAAGGTAAACGACAATGTTAACGTATTATCACAAAAAATTCAAAAATTTTAATAATTATTACCATAAATTTTTAGGTAAGCAGTTTAAAAACAATAATTTTGATAATCTCGTATTATGATTATCTAATAAGTTGAGGTTGTAAAACGTTGGACTCGCATGACAGACGTTTTTAGTTTTATTGAACGAATTTTGCAGACACCATTATTTTGCTATCGTTCAATAATAATCACTATAAAATATATAGTGATTATTATTGAACATGTTACCTGTAAGACGGCGGGATGTTTCCGTTCTATGTATGTGCTGTTTTAAATTTGTAGTAAGTATTACTACGAGTTTTTAATTCTTTAGAACAGTATTTGCATATTGCTGTGGTATTATCCTTCTTCGTTATAAAATACTTTCGCCAGCCGCTTTTAGGTGTTTTACGGTTAGAAGACATTTTTATTGTTTACCAACAAACGGCAACAACTTTACCTCACTCACCATTACACTGAAACTAAACTACTATACAGCTTTACACGTATACATACGTGCCTACAGATGGCGCCGTTTTTATTTAATCAATTTATACGTAAAAACTTAATTCGAGATATTTTATCTAACGCATAGATGGTCCTGTTTATAAAATTGAAACTTTTAAAATTGAACTGTTTCTGAAAATCGATTTAAACACGTAATTTATATAATCGATTTACTAAAAATCAATTAATGTTAATATAAAAATCGATAATAAAAATATAAATATTTATTATCGATTATAAGAAAATAATAATCGATTTAAATAAAAATCATTAATTTTTTAACATCCCTAGCCGACAGTTATAATTTCACGACCGCTCGATATCTACTTGAGCTATTACGATCATTAAGCCGACAGTTAATGACGACAGCCACTCAAGTTAATAAGGCGCCGAAGCGATCAAATTAACTTGAGGTTTATATCAACATCAAAGCACTTGTTTTGTCGTTTTTTCTAACAGTTCACACGCGCAGACACTTAATTCTCAAAATCGCATCACTATTACGAATCAAAATCCACTTCAAACCATTATGCAAGCGACAAAACAGGAGCGACTATCCGTCGACGGCCAAGTTCCCGCCAAAACTCGTCAAAATCTCAAAAGAGTCAAAACCTTAGAGTATGGAGTGTAGAGGTAAGAAGAACAGACTGTGTGTTAAAAAATGTCCGTAGAAAAGCGTTAAATAAGAGTAGCGCCCAAGGGTAGCGGCACTGTAGATAGTAAAGAACTTTTTATAACATTTTATTTTGACTTTCACCAAAATTCTTTCTATAAATATTATTTTATTGTTTTCAAAATTTTTATTTCCAAAATCACTTTCAACGTGTTTTACGGCGACCTTTTCTATGTTATATTTAATAAATTTAGACAACGTGAGTAGTTGATGTGTTAAGTACTGCAGTTTCATCAATTACTTTAGTCACCACAAATATTAAATTATACTAGATCTATGGGCTAAATTCCTTAACTCAACATATTTCACTCCGACAACTGCTAAGTTCATTTCATGAGTTTTTGAACTGTTATTTACTGCTTACAGATGGACACTTCATCTCCTATGATGATATTTCTTTTCATGTGAATGTAATATTTCAATAAGAAAACACTGCTTTCAACAATATTAATAAGGGTGTCAAAGGGTGTAGTGCGAGATACGCGGCCGAGGTAACACAGCATGTGCCCCGCGCTTTGCGCTTCGGGTTTTCCCTGAATTAGAGCTAGTGCTGTGCCACGTTATTTTTTTATTTTTTTAAGCCAGCGCTTTACTACTATCCCACCTGATAGTAAATGATGATATAGCCTAAGATGGTAAAGCGCACTGACTTAACAAAAGCCTATTCTCTCTTGCCTGGAAGACACCCACACTGTAATAAACTTATTCCACTCCTTTGCTGTACGCATGATGAACGACGTAGCAAACCATTTGGTTCAAATGCGTGGTAAGTCAACAACGAAAGGGTGGAAACTGGTTGAACTCTGGTTGTCTGATGGTGGAAGGAAGATGGAGAAATCAAATAATGCTATTCCTGCGCACACTCTCCGAAATGCATCCTGTAGAAAACCGAAAGGCTGACTACTTTGCACCTGTGTTAGAGGCTGGTAAGATGGTTTTAACCAAACTCTTGTGCTAAGAGGCTTAATGGTGGGTTATACCTATTTCTAGTTTGCGGGGATCTCATTGGGTATACCTCTCCTAACACCTTATAGAATTACAATTAACACAGATTGAATTAATAACATATAGAGTCGTGATTTATTTATAATGATCATTACATCATGGTATGTAATTATTAATCACATTGTATAATTTATGTTATATAAATTATACAATATAAATTATACATATGTAATTATTAGGTATATTGTATAATTTATGATAAGATTAAAAAATTTGTGAATTTTTTTCTAGTTACACGTAAAAATTTCAACAGTAAAAGAAGTACATTTTATCTTCGTTATTGCTATAATATCCGTGTAGCGGCGGTGTACGAATAGTCACTACACCATATCGTCCCGTGGGTGACATAAGAGGCGACAAAGGAAATCGGACCAGGAGATTGACAGCAGCGTCTTCCTGCTCGCCTGTCTAGCGTTGCAACTATGTTCAGAACTTGACTTTGATAAGCTGTAATTGATAGATGGAGTGGATATGCTAAAATAAAACAGGATTATGGATAAACTAGGTAGTAATTCTTATCTGCTTAAGAATTCGTCTGGATGGTAAACTTAAAGGCTCATAAAGTAGGGTCACTATATATATTATATTCTGATCAACCACGATGTATTCACATCATATTGCCGCTGACAGTTTATTTATTTGCTTTAATTCAAAATCTTCATACGCGATGAAGCCACGCTGCAGTTGTAGCACGAATGGCTCGGCTCGACCGGAGAAGGACCACGCTCTCACAGAATACCAGCGTAAAATAGCAGCTTAATACTGCTGTGTTTCGTATGGTGAGTGTAGAGATCCGGAGACCCTTTTTACTGGAACCGAGGCATTCCATCTTAGTCCTCAGGGCAACACAACTGCGTTTTGATTCTTAATCAAGGATAAATGTAGATGTCTATGGGCCGCAGCGTTCACTTACCATCAGGTGGACTGTGTGCTTGTTTGTCACCCTTATTCTATAAAAAAGAATGGAAAACATAAGGTTCTTGGTTTTAAAAATCTTATGATTTCCGATAGATGGCGGTATACGCATCTCGGTTATGTCTGACGTAAAATACTTAGAGGAGTGATAGGGCAGCAGCGTCAAAAGTGGCAAGACGTCCCCTTCTGCGATTGTAAATTCACTAATCAAGCGTAACGATTAAGATAAAACTTCTTTGAAACGGGAGAGACCCATGTACAGTAGTGGACAAGTAGCCCGTAAAGGCTTATAAAAAATGTAATAATTCAATAGATTTGTCATTCGCTCCCTGAATGACAAATCTATTGAATTATTACTGTAATAGGAAAGCAACGCAACTAAAATATTTATAACAAGCTATTAAAATTTATTACCTTCGTTAGAGAACCAGTGATAAAGTATCAACAATCGATTAAATTCGGACCTAAAATATTTGCTTTGTGTACCGAATATGCGTACATGTTTTACGTAGTAGGAAGAAAAAATGAAAACATATTCAAAAGAAATATGTTTAGCACTTCTAATTTACCAGGCACGATAATGTTACCGTTGTTCAAAATATTCAAAAAAAGCTATTCTATTAGTTTGTTTTATTTATTCTAACAGTTTATTTTATGTACTAAAATAAAGATTTTTCTTCTTTTTAGTTAACACTTGTCTACTCACAAAATGAAGATGAAGGTTCGTATTTAAGTATTCCATCGTTTTAACTGGTCCTCATAGCTGTAGGTTCTTTGTTTAACTTCCAGTGTTTGTAAAATTTAATAATCACTGGGTTCTCGATATTCCAACAGACGCTTTTATTTTTAGCTCACGAGTTTTTAGGTAGTTGTATCAAGCACTCATTTTATATTAAGTTGTTTTAATTCATATTGAATGATATACATTTACAAGAGTGTATTTTTTATAGATTTTGGAACCACGGAACCTGCTGAAGAGGAGGTAACAAAGAAATGTTTTGTAGAAAAAATTTAGTAGACTACTTATTTTAATTTTTTTTCTTATCCCTGTTGCATTGCATTTTACAGTGGCATATGGATTTTATGCCGGTAAGTTTTGAAATAAAAATAGAAAGATCATAGTGTCAGTTGAAAAATATTTTATTTTTTAACAACTTGTTTTATCTTCATCAGACTGGATATCTTCCCGATAGCGTTTATAGAGAACTAGCCTGGTATGGTATACTGCAAATCCAACCACTACATCACAGCTCGAAGCATAAGGTTGCGGCGCAACTCATATGGCAACATACACTTGGACGACCCCACGTAATAATGGAAAGTCCGCCACAAGTGAGTTTTTTCTTTTATTTTATAAATAAGTGAATTAGGTACTTATATACCTATTGTACTTCAATTAGTAATTAATGAAGGGTGCCCTTAACCGACGAGCATGTAATCGTAGATGGATGTGAAAATAACTTTTTTTAATTTTGCTATAATTTCTGTTCATAAGAGGAATGCGTATTACAAAAAAAAAAAAAACGCAAAATATTTCCTTTAAAAACTTTGCTTGAAATAACAATTACTTGATAAAAATAGTTCGTTCTCTACTAAAATAAGCGCAGAGAAAATTTTAGATAACTCATTTATTTACTTAGTAATAGTCATTCTCCCGATGGATGTTTAGGCCTAATTTCTGAGATACATGATTTGGGAGCTCTAATTTGTAGATTATATTGAATATCGACCATCAAAAATATTTTTATCTCACAAATATCCTATATCTTAATAAAGATTGAATACTTTTTCGTTATATACCTTAAACATAAGGAAAAAAATCTACATAATTCAATTAACAACCGAAAAAGCTTCAATACAAGCCCTAATATCTCCGAAGTTCTACATCATTTTGACGTAAAATTTGTACTAAAATAATCATTAACATTTGCTTAAACTGTACTATGATTTTTACATTTTAAACCAGTTACCCAAGTTACAAGCATTTTATAAAAATAAGTAATTTTATAGTAATAAGCTCTGTCAATGCCGTTGCGGCAAATATTTTTATAATAAAAAATATGGTAATTGACAGTAAGTGCCGATTAAAAAATATTAGTTACAGTTGGTTATTTTATTTATTAAAACAGGTTGCAACCGTATTATTTATTTATTCATACGACTATGCTACCATTAGTAGATATAATCGATTATTAACCAACATCGGTTAACAATCGATTACTGCGAAACAATTAAAATATTTATGTGTACTTATTTCAACACTAAGGTTCATAAATAATGAAAAATATGTCAAATAGATTATAATAAATTAATTAGATAACACAAATAAACACACCAAAATTTTTCCATCCACTGAACTCCATCCGAAGAAAACTTGTATAATGGAAGATCAAGATCAAACGTAACGCCGAAATGTAAGAGGGCTCTTAATGCGCTGTCTTCTTGAACTTGGTGCGTAGTAGTAGTGCGTGCCTTTAAGACGTGTAAATTCTTTCAGATATTTTATTATTTTTGCAATTTGCATTGCATTGGCAAGTATGCATATAAGTTTAATAACTTGATTTCGCAGTCCACACAGTCTGAAGGTAAAGTAAGCCGACAAATTTTGGCTGAAGAGGCAGCAAAATGGTCTAGAGAGCAGAGAGCAGCCCAAGAAGTACTTATGGAAAATATCAAAAGTGGCGGTAATGGTCTTACAGTAAGAACAGTTATCAGCGCGCATCAGAAGACCATATATATCATACAGAATGGTAAATGGCACTGATTTTGTATTTAAATTGTTTCGTGTGTGTGTAATGATTATAAATGGCGCATTTCTCTTCGCAGTTTTGAGTTGTAACAAAAAATATTTTCTTTTACTTAATATAAGCTGTGGTAGCTCAGATGGTTAATGCTCGATGTAAATTTCACCGCGAGCAACCCGGGTTCGATCCCCGCCGGTACCAATGAAATAATTAATTGCAATTTTAAGTGCTGTTTACCACGTGCTCGGCGTTAAAGAAAAACATCGTAAGGAAACCAGCATCTCTGATATATAAGAAAAAAAATATTTTCGAAAATATGTGAAGTTTGGCAACACGCATTGGGGCAGCGCGGCGGGCACTTTCTTGCCCTAAAACCTTCTCAGAAATGAGAGGAGGCCTGTGCCCAGCCGTGGACGTATATAGGCTGTAACTTTAACTTTTAATATAAGCCTTTTCTACAATTCTACATGGTGATGAGCGGTGATAAAACCTTAAATGGTTAATTGCATTGTATTAAAGTATTATAATTAAAAGCGTATTCACTCTAGCTTTGAAGACACCCGGGTTATAATTAGATGGAAAGATAGATTTTATTACGTGGTAGAGCCATGCTGAAGTTATGTTAGTAGTATAGTTGTAGCACGAATGGGTCGGCTCGACTAGGGAAGGACCACGCTCTCACAGAATACCAGCGTCAAATCGTAGCTTAATGCTTCTGTGTTTCTTATGGTGAGTGTAGAGAACCGGAAACCCTTTTTACTGGAAACGAGGCATTCCACCTAAGTCTTTACGGATGACAACGCATCTGCATTTTGATTCGTAATCGAGGATAGATGTAGATGTCTATGGGCCACAACAACCACTTACCATCAGGTGGACTGTGTGCTCGTTTGTCATCCTATCCTATAAAAAAGACAAAAAACACCTAGGCAAACTTTGTTATAGCTGACCTCACAAGCTAGTATAGTCTTGTAACATAGACTCAGAATATACTGGCGGTCTTGTAATAAGTTGTAGGTAACAGGATTTAATTAATATTATACTGGGAAATAGCATATTATATTTAAGAAAGTATCTTAATCGTGATAAGCATTTTTTTAGGTTTTTCAAAGTACATTTTAGTTAAAGACTTTCTTTAACTACAATGTACTATGAAAAACCGTAAGAAAATGAGATGAAACCACGTTTTCTATTTCAGGTAACTTTTACAAATGTCCAGAAGGATCTGAACCTGATTTAGACGCTTATCGGCTGCAGGCTAATATGCACGAGCGAAAATGCACTTACGGGAAACCTTCTATACCACTACCTGTTGATCCTTGCATCGAGGCAGAAGTTGCACCAATTGAATATTCCTTCCATGAAGGTTGGATGTTTTGCCTCGGGAATGGCGAGAGAGATAATAACTATTTCCAAAACGGGACGTTAGACTGCGGGAATAAAACAAAGGTAGATTATAACAAAGATATAACGCATTGTTTAAGAATTTATTATAAGTTAACCAAATCCGAATTGTCGGACTGACATAATTCTACAGGGTTCACCAAATGGTAAGTGACTACCGGCGCCCAAAAACAACTGCAATACCAGGGGAATTACAGGTGCGTTGCCGGCCTTTTAGAAAGGAGTTGGCTTTTTTCTTGAAAGTCTTTAAGTCGTATCGGTCCGAAAAAATCGCCGATGGAAAAGATTCCACAAAGATGTTGTACGAGGAAGAAAACTACTAGTAAAATGCACAGTGGTGGACCGCCAAGCATCTAGATGGTGTGGATGGTATCGTGAGTTTTGTCGCGTTGTGTGTTCAGGAAATTTGGCAGCTGGAAATAATTCGAACAATTTCTCAGAGCTCCCCGTGGTAGAGGCGATAGAAAATGCAAAGGGATGCAACACCCTTTCGCAGCGCCAATCAATCGATCCAATTAGAAGGGACTCGATTGTCGACGATTCCAGTCGCTCTGCGCTGGATGCGGTCAAGTGGAACTGGGGTGCACCAGCCCAGGGATGAGAACAAAATTCCATGTAAGGCCGAACTTGCACCTTGTAAAGTTCCAAGCGGTGTGCCGGCATGAAATACTGTCCTGCTCTGCTGAGTACGTCAAGCTTTTTAGAAGCCAATTTAGCATTCCCTTCCAAATGACCACGAAACTGCTTATCATTCGATATGTCAACGCCGAGTATTCCGATGCTAACTTCTGAGGATTAAACTGGACTAGATTTAGCCGTCCCCAATCTGAGACTTTGTTTAACAATGACTCGACTTCAGACACAAGTTTGTTCCGGTACGCGATGACGTGATAGCGAGAAATATTGGCACGGCCGGTATAAAAAACATCACCTGTGCTGTAGTCCGCATAGCAATTAATGCTACCGGTTTGCAACATATCATTGATATGCAGAAGGAACAGCGTAGATGACACACACAGCCTTGTTGAGCACCTGAACCACAGTTGAGGCCAGTGAGTCGTCCTCCCTATGCAGACATGAAAATGATGGCTTATGTATGCCATACACGATCCAGTTTACCGTCAAGTTTGTTTTGCCCTTGCCTTGACAATGACTCTTTTGAAGGACCTGGAGGAGGAATTTTAATTCTTTTTAAGAGCGCTGGTGTTTACATCCCGGGACGTTGATGCGTCAGCCCATGCCCAGTAGCACTCCTGCTTGTAGTGATGCTATTTTGTAGGAACGACCAAACCACGGCTGGAATCAGCCTACGATACGGCACCACATAAGATGGAATAAAAAGTTCCATACCCTGAAGTACCTGTGGCGACGGTGTCGTCGCGCCGCAAGCGAAACACACCGAAGCTTAAATCACGCTATCAACATTCCGAATCATAAACAGCATATATAGAACATCTCCGAACTATCACACGGAGTGTGAGCCGCTCCCCGGGCTGAACACCTTGCCTGGCGAGAGATCTCCCCTTTTCCTTCCACGGCCACAGTGGTGACCATCCGACGTGATCTGAACACGCAACTCAAACACCTTCGGAAACTAAAACTTCTCAAGTCTTCGTCATTATCCTCAAGAACCCCTACCATTCACTACTGAGAATCGTCTTCTGCAGTCTTCAGTTCTTGCAAGCCAGCCCAACTTGTCTTCATCTCGACTCACCGCAGATTTATAAGGCAGACTTCTGGCACTTGCTCCGGCACATCGTTCTACCGGCATCACACGGCACACCAAACCCCACCGGCATTAAAAGGACACACCGGCCATCGGACTGCACTATCGACCTCCGGTCTGAGCAGGGGGGTGATGTGGCGGCGCTGTCGTCGCGCCTCAAGCGAAACACACCGAAGCTTAAATCACGCTATCAACATTCCGAATCATAAACAGCATATATAGAACATCTCCGAACTATAACGGAGTGTGAGCCGCTCCCCGGGCAGAACACCTTGCCCGGCGGGAGATCTCCCCCTTCCACGGCCACGTTGACCATCCTTTCCTACTTCGGCTACACACCACATCAACAAATAAACCAGATCAGATCCCGATTCCCGACGTTGTTGATAACGTTGAGATGTTTCGGCTAGAAACAATCACGCAACTTAGGGTAGGATCCAAAAAAGACCGCATCCTATCACTATCGGCTGACCTAAAGTGCCAAACACGGTGACAGCCTGCAGAATGCAACCGCGATGTTAGCGTGAATGGCACCACACTCCGGACTAGACAATGATACGAGGAGCCAAGAGGGATGTCGACGGAGACCTGATATCCATCCGGGGGTAATCATCGGAATATCTGAACCCATTGTAATGAAACTTCACTACCATATAGAGAGCAATGGCTACAAAGTTTAGATTTACTGTTAAAGTTGAGTTTTTCTGTAACCTGCTAATAACATAATACGAGGTACAGATCTTTGCTTTTATGCACGTGATTTTTTTTTAGATTTTTTATCTATTCGCGTGCATTCAAGGCAATATTGTATTTTTTAAATAAGTATCCGGTTCAAAGGACCGAAAAAATCAAATTTTAATAAAAAGTTCCTTACAATTTTGGGTAAAAATCTTGTAAAAACCTATTAAATAAAAAAGAATCGTCAAAATCAGATCACAATGGTGAAGATATCGTGTTACATACATACATACATCATAGAGTCGAATTGTAAATCTCCTTTTTTTTGAAGGCTTAAATAGAATTGTCTAAGAATTCAGGGAATGAGCTGTTTGTGTTATAAATTTCTGCACTTGGTTTTTTAGATATCAATGGACGAATTCTCAAGAATGTGCGCAATCGATAATAATATCGTAATAACCTTTGATTACTTCGGTGACGAGCCTCGTAAGGACATGATGCATAACGCCACTCTCTGCACGACGTGGGACCCATGTCGTCTATCTTACTTATATCGCTTAGAGGTAGTGTTTGAAGCTCTGTTTCATTATTTTAAAAGATTTAGTTTTAAATTATCACTTAATTTTTTATTCTGTTAGAGAAAATTATTTAATAATAATATTATTGTTTACTTCGGTATACTAATAGAGTATAAAATAAATGTAATGTGTATTGTTACGAGCTTACGGTTCGTGACATTAAAAACTGCCTATTAAATTACCAAAATTGACACTTTAATTACTGAACACCAATTAAAATTTAAATCACACTAATAATTATTCACACTTAACACTTTAGTTCACTTTATTTCATTCCGAAAGCTTCTCTCGTATCGCTAATTCAATACTGCCCGATCGCGGCTTGCAAGGGCTTTTTATAGGCATTTTTCCACCGAAACATCAAGAATATTCCAGCAAATACCGGCCCCGACCAACCAGGTGCAGAAAGTTGAAGTGTGGGGCTTTCTAGAAAGCTTAGTTCTTCTATTCGATACTAGATGGCGCTGTTGGTGGAAAGTTCAGGAATGGCTTTTTCTAAAAAGCCCTCCTCGCTCTGTTCCCTGACACTAGACGGCACTAGTACCAGGTACCAGACATCAACTTAGGCGCGCAACACTGCCCCCTCCTAAGATATGCTCGTCCTGAGCATTATCGGCCCCATAATAACGCGCCAGTCGATCCACATGGACGATCTTAGGAGTACCTCTTGCACCTTTCTGAAACGGCTCCGCAACGTCAACAAGTGTCCTCTCCCATGGTGCACCAACATTTTCAATGCACCTCTACTACGAGTCTGGGGTCCCTTCACAGCCGCACAACTTGTACATTTGCGACACCAATCCTCGACATCGTCACGATAATGGACCCAGTAAAACCGTTCTCGGATCTTCAGTAGAGTTCGTTTAACTCCCAGATCGACTCCTGAATAACCATTATGGTACAGCTGTAGACCATCCGACACTTTAGCTTTAGAGACAACCATTTGCAAACGACAGTTGTCTTCCCGACCATTTTTCCATTTACGGCACAGAACTCCATCCTGAAGCAGCAAGCTGTCCCATTGGGCCCAATAGCTTTTAGTGGTCGAACTCATCGCTGAGACGTCACTCCACTTGGGCTTGGGAGCATGCGCCTTCATCCATTCCAGAATCGGCTTGATGTCCGGATCTTCCTGCTGTGCATGTTGTAAGCGGTCCTTCCACTCGTCGCTGAGGTGATCTGTCCTGAGCATCCTCACGGATACCATTTACTTACCCTCTTGCCTGGTACTGTTCTCGCAATCATCACAGGATAAGGTCTTCTTGACAATGCATCTGTGTTGCCACGCCATTTCCCGCTGTAGTGTCCGATAGTAAAGTCGTATTCCTGCTGCTGCTGGGCAGTGATGTAAGCCGCACTACCCTTTCGAGATCGACGACCTTCCCTTTTTACAGATCGCTTAGGGCAGCTGGGTCGAAGATGGCCCCTTTCCCCACAGCCGTAGCACCTTGGTCTGTAACTTTTATTGTGGTCGCGAACTGTTGGTGCTGCAACCTCCCTGACGCGATGAGAACGATGATCCTGCCGCACTCCTGTGCATGGACCAAGGCGTCCTTAAGCGTCTCGTGGTGCCCTAGCCTCACAGTAGCTCTGACTTTAAGGTCACGGATGCCGTCGATGAATGTCTGCACCAGCTTCCCTTCAATGAGCGCAGGTACAGATCGATACGCTTTTCGAACCAGCTTCTCCACCTCAAGGGCCTACTGCTGCAGGTTTTCGTTCATGCGTTGCACGCGATCTCTAAGCTGCGCACGAAAGACGTGTTCCAGGTGAGCGTCGCCATATCTCGCCTTCAATGCCTCAAGGAATTGCTCGTAAGTCACTTTCTTACCGAGAGTTTCCAACACAGTTAAGGCTTGGTCGCGCAGGCGTAGCGTAAGTGCAGTCATGGCCTGACTTTTATTCCAGTCATTCGCCTCCATGACAGTCTCGAACTGGATTTTGTAGGCTGACCAGGAAGAAGTCCCGTCAAACGGCGGCATTTTGAATCCACGTAGCGAAGGTGTTGTAGCCACTACGGAAGCTGTAATTCAATTCCCCAGTTTGAGGTCGTCCAGCGTTTTCTTCACGTCAGCCGTCACGTTGTCAAACCGATTGATCACTTGGTCGATTCGAGTTTCAGCTTCTTCGATTCGGGTTTCAGCTTCCGACAGGCGAGTGTCATGTTGAGCAACCCTAACCTTCACCTCCTTTATTTCGTTCCTGAAGGTAGCGTGAAGGTCCTTCATGAGGAGCATCTTCTCTCCTGACCGACGATCCTGTTCCTCTTGTTCGCCCAGCAGTTGCTTCTCCAATCAGCGTGCCTGTTCCCCCTGCTGGCGAGCCTGCTTCTGCAGCATCAACATGTGAGCACCTAAGTCAGGTGCTGCAGGTGTAGGAGCTGCTGACGGGCCAGCCTATGTGGCTGGCAGTTGGCCCTCCGACGTCTGCGGCGTTGCACCACCAAATCTTCTCTGGTCCGTCTCCTGCTGGCATTGACTTTGGGTACGGACGCCCACCGTGTCGTCCTTCGGTAAAATCAGCATGATTTTATCACACTTCTGACAAAAATTGTTACGAGTTTAGGATTCGTGACAATAAAAACTGCCGATTGAATTACCGAAATTGACACTTTAATTACTGAACACCAATTAAAACTTAAATCACACTAATAATTATTCACACTTAACACTGGTTCACTTTATTTCACTCCGAAAGCTTCGCTCGTATCGCCAATTCAATACTGCCCCGATCGCGGCTTGCAAGGGCTTTTTATAGGCCTTTTTCACCGAAACATCCAGAATATTCCAGCAAATATCGGCCCCGACCGACCAGGTGCAAAAAGTTCGAGTGTGGGGCTTTCTAGAAAACGTAGTTCTTCTATTCGATACTAGATGGCGCTGTTGGTGCAAAGTTCAGTAATGGCGTTTTCTAGAAAGCCCTCCTCGCTCTGTTCCCCGACAAAAAAAAATGGCGCTAGTGCCAGGTACCAGACATCAACGTAGGCGCGCAACAGTTAATTACACTTGATTGAAAGTTAAACTTTTTATAAAAGTAAAAAGTTGGTGCCAAGGTGGAAGATGGGTATCGGAGAATTAAAACCCCTAACTTAAGGAGCTATAACGTGGAAGTTCTTTTACTCTTAAAAATCATAAAATCCCTGTGTTATAGCACCGTCTTTTTACTTTTTACAAAAATTGAAGTAGATTTTTAATTTTAATTGATGGTTTAGTTACTAAAACTGAATTGTTATAAAAATTGGATACGAACTTAATTACAAGAAGCGTGATCATCATACATATTTATCCAAGTGCAATGTGAAGTTTTATATACTGCATTATTTTTTAGCCGCCACCAGTAGAATTAACGCCAGCGTTCCCTGCGACAACAGTTAATCCTTGTGAAACAACGGTCTGTCCTGAATGTATTGAAGGTTATACAGAGGATCAGGGCGTACCCATAGAAGGTGAGCAATAAAGATATCATTTTATATTTTTTTAGATTATATTATAATCATTTTTTTTTACTTTTTCAGTGTTTTCAGGTGAAGTGGAACCGTAGATTAAATTAGCCTCTACTTAGTGCTTAAGGACGTCTTCATTTTATTATCAATTAAATATTTTCTGCAAATTTTTGTGTTTTCTTATTTGTCCATAGATTGCTTCTAACGGTGTACAAACCCTTATCGTATCTATTTTGTAATAAGACAGCTTTGATAATACGTTATGCGCAGAAAATATGTGCTCCTAACCTGTCCAAGTGTGTTGCACAATTCACAACACATCGAAACATCTTCTACTTAATTTGTCCGTGATTGCCCACTGTTAAGACGAGGCATGACCCTAAACGCAAGTTTTATAATGCCTCAAAGTAAATGATCCACTGCAGTAAACAAACCCAGAAAAATGTATGATATTGTCCAGGATATATCCTAGTTAGATAGTGTGTTGAAAACATGATACTACTAATTTAATACGATAGAAAAAAAATCACAAACATACCTCCAAAAATTTCTTTTAACTAGTAAAAACCATACTAGTATACATTCAATCATTCTGATTTTTTGTCAGATTTTTATACATTGAACATATTATCGTTATAGTGTTTCAATTTTTTAGTCCAACTAATAGTTTTTTTTTTAAATCACATATTCTTATTTCTGAAATAATACGTACGGATGTTTGCGTAAACGCCTGTGCAGTCACTGCCGGCCGAGGCCTGGTGCTGTAGAGACGTGTCGCTCTTTTTGCCGCAGTATTTACGTTAAGATTTTTTAAGGACGCGTTTACAAAATTGATATAGGTATAGAATCGAACTATTACATTGACATGAGTCACGCACACAAGTGTATGCACGGTTGGCTGCGGGAATCGTAGTCAAATAAAATTATTTTAATAATTTGAAAGATCAAATTTGTTTTTGATTTCTTACACCACAAAAATATACTTAGATACATAGAGTAATAAGACTTAGTTACGAGGTACGAATACCTACTCTAGAGACTGCTTTGCACTGGGAGCCCTCTGCTGGCACTGAGAAGTTAGCTGTGGACTTTGGGCTGATTTTGTCAGTTATGATAAGACCTTACCTCCGGACTTGATGGAGTGACCTGAAAGTGAACTTCAGTAACTAATACTGGAACACCTGGACTAGTAGAACTAGGTGTGCCGACTTTGGGCTCGTTTTATTAGGTATGACGAGCCCTTACCTCCGGACTTGACGGAGTGACCTGAAGGTGTACTTTAGTAATCGGTATTGGAGCAGGTCGCCGAGTAGGCATTACTAGGTGTGCCGAGTTTGGGCTCGTTTTGTTAGGTATGACGAGCTCTTACCTCCGGACTTGACGGATTGACCTGAAGGTGTACTTTAGTAATCGGTATTGGAGCAGGTCGCCGAGTAGGTATTACTAGGTGTGCCGAGTTTGGGCTCGTTTTGTTAGGTATGACGAGCCCTTACCTCCGGACTTGATGGAGTGTCCTGAAGGTGTACTTTGGTAATCGGCAGTGGAACAGGTCGCCGAGTACTATTAGGTGTGAGGTTGGGCTCGTTTTGTTAGGTATGACGAGCCCTTACCTCCGGACTTGACGGAGTGACCTGAAGGTGTACTTTGGTAATCGGCATTGGAACGGTCGCCGAGTACTAATAGGTGGGCCGAGTTTGGGCTTGTTTTGTTAGGTATGACGAGCCTTACCTCCGGACTTGACGGAGTGACCTGAAGGTGTACTTTGGTAATCGCTATTGGAACTGGTCGCCGAGTACTACTAGGTGGGCCGAGTTTGGGCTCGTTTTGTTAGGTGGCGAGACGAGCCCTTACCTCCGGACTTGACGGAGTGACCTGAAGGTGTACTTTGGTCATCGCTATTGGAACTGGTCGCCGAGTACTACTAGGTGGGCCGAGTTTGGGCTCGTTTTGTTAGGTATGACGAGCCCTTACCTCCGGACTTGATGGAGTGACCTGAAGGTGTACTTTGGTAATCGGTATTGGAACTGGTCGCCGAGTACACTAGGTGGGCCGAGTTTGGGCTCGTTTTGTTAGGTATGACGAGCCCTTACCTCCGGACTTGATGGAGTGACCTGAAGGTGTACTTTGGTAATCGGTATTGGAACAGGTCGCCGAGTACTACTAGGTGGGCCGAGTTTGGGCTAGTTTTGTTAAGTATGACGAGCTCTTACCTCCGGACTTGACGGAGTGACCTGAAGGTGTACTTTGGTAATCGGCATTGGAACAGGTCGCCAAGTACTACTAGGTATGCCGAGTTTGGGCTCGTTTTATTAGGTATGACGAGCCCTTACCTCCGGAATTGACGGAGTGACCTGAAGGTGTACTTTGGTAATCGGTATTGGAACAGGTCGCCGAGTACTACTAGGTGTGCCGAGTTTGGGCTCGTTTTGTTAGGTATGACGAGCCCTTACCTCCGGACTTGATGGAGTGACCTGAAGGTGTACTTTGGTAATCGGCATTGGAACAGGTCGCCGAGTACTATTAGGTGTGTCGAGGTTGGGCTCGTTTTGTTAGGTATGACGAGCCCTTACTCTACTCTACTACTAGTACTAGTACTAGTACTCGGCGACCTGTTCCAATGCCGATTACCAAAGTACACCTTCAGGTCACTCCGTCAAGTCCGGAGGTAAGGGCTCGTCATACCTAACAAAACGAGCCCAAACTCGGCCCACCTAGTGGTACTCGGCGACCTGTTCCAATGCCGATTACCAAAGTACACCTTCAGGTCACTCCATCAAGTCCGGAGGTAAGGGCTCGTCATACCTAACAAAACGAGCCCAAACTCGGCACACCTAGTGGTACTCGGCGACCTGTTCCAATGCCGATTACCAAAGTACACCTTCAGGTCACTCCGTCAAGTCCGGAGGTAAGGGCTCGTCATACCTAACAAAACGAGCCCAAACTCGGCACACCTAGTAGTACTCGGCGACCTGTTCCAATGCCGATTACCAAAGTACACCTTCAGGTCACTCCGTCAAGTCCGGAGGTAAGGGCTCGTCATACCTAACAAAACGAGCCCAAACTCGGCCCACCTAGTGGTACTCGGCGACCTGTTCCAATGCCGATTACCAAAGTACACCTTCAGGTCACTCCGTCAAATCCGGAGGTAAGGGCTCGTCATACCTAACAAAACGAGCACAAACTTGGCACACCTGGTAGTACTCGGCGACCTGTTCCAATGCCGATTAATAGAGTACACCTTCAGGTCACTCCATCAAGTCCGGAGGTAAGGGCTCGTCATACCTAACAAAACGAGATCAAACTCGACACAACTAGTAGTACTTAGCGACCAGTTCCAATACCGATTACCAAAGTACACCTTCAGGTCACTCCATCAAGTCCGGAGGTAAGGACTCATCATACCTAACAAAACGAGCCCAACCTCGGCACACCTAGTAGTACTTAGCGACCTGTTCCAATGCCGATTGCCAAAGTACACCTTCAGGTCACTCCATCAAGTCCGGAGGTAAGGGCTCGTCATACCTAACAAAACGAGACCAAACTCGGCACACCTAGTAGTATTTAGCAACCTGTTCCAATGCCGATTGCCAAAGTACACCTTCAGGTCACTCCATCAAGTCCGAAGGTAAGGGCTCGTCATACCTAATAAAACGAGACCAAACTCGGCACACCTAGTAGTACTCGGCGACCTGTTCCAATACCGATTACCAAAGTACACCTTCAGGTCACTCCATCAATTCCGGAGGTAAGGTAATAGAAAACAGTAAAATAAATTTGAATTTTCTAATGGTTTTATTTGAAACTATTCTTTTTCTCTTATTTTAGCTATTTTGCAAACGAAGCTTGGTTTTTTTTAGAATTTGTGAGGTGGCGTTTTAAACGTTTATGTATGTAAATAGTAGACTAAGTACCTACCTGCTCATATCATAAAACTGACTTTAAAAAAAATATTGATAATTAAAATGTAGTTGTTGTCCAGACTAACTATATTGTAAACAGTTTTGATTTTAGTGAGTAGGTTCTCAAAATATGATTACTAATACCTAGTGGTGTTGAGAACAGTAAACCTCACGGAAAAGTTTTTGTTTGGAGGTGAATTGTCTGCTTGCTTTGCGCATACTGTGTTCACGCGGCGCTCTCCGACAGCCGGTTGCGCTCCGCCCACTGCGGGACGCGCGGGTGAAAAACGAATTTGAAATCGTGCTAAGAGCTCGTCTTAAACAAAGACTGCTGCCCTTGCATTTTTTTAAACAAACTGTAGTGACAAACGAATTTCCTACTTACTTTCGACCTGATGATATGTGCCTACTGCAGACCATGAACATCTGCAACCAGCTACACACAAAGAAGGCTGCCGATGCGTTGTCCCCTCTGAGAACTAAGACGGAATGCCCGCAGTATGTAATTACTCTCTTATGTCTCTGCAGTGGTAGGTAGAGATCACGCATGCCTTAAATATTTTTTTATAAAATTTAATTGACAAACGTATTTACACTCGCGCCCCATGACCAGGTGCATACACACGCAAACCTACACACCTACACATACAGACAGCGGCTCAAGCTGGAGGGGCGCGACGCGCCGCGCCGCGCGCTCTCGCCTCACGACCAGGTGCGCACACACGCACACCTACACATGTACATATACACACGTACACATACACACGTACACATACACACGTACACATACACACGTACACATACAGACAGCGGCTCAAGCTGGAGGGGCGGGACGCGCCGCGCCGCGCGCTCTCGCCTCACGACCAGGTGCGCACACACGCACACCTACACATGTGCATATACACACGTACACATACACACCTACACATACAGACAGCGGCTCAAGCTGGAGGGGCGGGACGCGCCGCGCCGCGCGCTCTCGCCTCACGACCAGGTGCGCACACACGCACACCTACACATGTACATATACACACGTACACATACACACGTCACATACCCTACACATACAGACAGCGGCTCAAGCTGGAGGGGCGGGACGCACCGCCATCCACCTG